CCCCAAAACCCCAAAACCCCATGATATTATATGAAATTAGATTTTAATGTAACTAATTTATAAAAATAAGATTAAATTACTATAATTATCAATATCATAATTTCACTTCAATCTTTTTAGTTATCTTTTGCTAAAGCATTGATGAATTATTCAACGCCCTTTTATTCTCAAAATAAGAATTGTAAAAGTTATTTTTACTGGCTCTTTCCAATTTAATATCACTGATCAAATCACTATTGTTGACATCAATTGTTGATGAATTATGGTGATTTTTGCCAATTTACTTTGAGAAATCTAGCTTATCGTTTTAGTCTTGAATAGTTATCATTGAACTTTAATTTATCTAAGGAAGAAACTTAGAGTCATTCTACTTTTGTCTAGAAGACAGATCAACACTCTTGTTTAACTTGCTTAAATAATTATTGCTATTCCTCAGCAGAGTATTAGAAGTGTTCAACTTATTTACAATACGCTACTATTTCAACCTCTCCTCCTCATGCTATGCCTACTTCTAAGCTAGTAATTCTGAAACTGATTTTGTTCTTAATTCTTGAGTCTTAGTGCTTTAAATTAACTTACTTTAGTTCTCAAACTGCTTTCTCACCTACAACTGCTTTTCATAATTTTCATATCTGACTTGTAATTTCTATCTCAAATTCTCATACTAGAGTATCTCACCTATATTTTAGTTATCATTTGTTCTCACTCCATAGATCTACTCATCACCATTTGATATGCTAATCTTATTAGTTAGGATTTTACTCTATAGTTTAGCCATTCTGTTTATCTTATTCCTTGACATCTCATCGAGCTAGTCCAAAGGTATTATTGTCTTCTAGTTGCTATCTGATATCTCAGGAGGATTTTATTTATCATCATCTTCATCTGCTATCATTGAATTCTGTTTCATCAGTTTTTCTTTCTGCTTTTTATGCATCTAGTCAGTATTCTGCTGTAATGCTTCAAATGGATCAATATTCCTCCATTTCTCCTCACATAATTGGCAAAACTCTGAGTAACCTATATGTCCATCTCCATTAGTGTCCATGTATCTATAGAGCTTCCAAATATCCTCATAGGATAGCTTTAATCTCAAATACTCGATTCCTTAAGCGAACTCATTGAAATTGATCGCTTAATCATAATCAGAGTCAAAGAATCTGAAAGCAGCATTAATGTTAGGGAATCTTTCATATATCTTCTACCAGATCATACTCAAAAGAGTAGTAAATGTTTATTTCTCCTTATCAGCCTCATTTTTGCCATAACTAGCAGAGTTTTTATGATTAGAGCTCATCACCATATACATCTCTTTCGAGTTGTTCTTGTTTCTTTAGATTCTATAGGGCATGAAGTTGAAGAAATCAATGAATGCTGAGAGCTTGCTAATACTAACACCTTCTCCTTCTTAGATTATTGGAAGCAGCAGGTCGTAAATAGCATAACATTTATTGTTATCTTTGAAGAAACTTAAAAATAGTTCTTTAAATTAGCTAATGCTCAACAAACCCTTTTCCTCATAAATTAAGCTATTCATAGTCTGCCTCAAGTTATTAAGAATTCTGTTGTCTACATTCATTTCATACATTTAGTTCACACTAATAATGACATAATGAAATTATAATAGCAACTTACATTTCAATCTTTACCTGCTTCTCATCAGAGTTCTGAAGTTTGATTAAGTATTGATCCACTATTGAACTTCTTAATTATGATGGTCTATCTTAGCCAGATTTCCCTTTCTTTCCACTTACATATATTGAGCTAGAAAATTTACTAGTTTGACCTGGGGAAGAAGTATTCCATGTGTTATCCTCAATGCCAGTAGTATTAAAATCCTCCAACGTCTTATTAAGGTTTTTATTTTGATTCACACTAAGGAAGTTATAATCAACACTGCCATAGTTGCAGACTTTGTTTTGGTAACGTTTTCTACCCCTTAGTTCATATAAGCCTTTGTTATAGTTTTCAGTCTTCCAACTAGTCATCTCTGGAGTTGTTCCTTCATGTACGTTAATCTTTTACAAGCTATTTAGAGAGACTCGTTTAGGAAATGGGAGTTTAACTGTTTCTATGATGGATTAATTTAGAGAAGGATAGATATCAAATTTACAATTATTCTGGTTTGTGCTTTTGGCATGGTAAGGAGATGGTGAATCGTTTAGTTGCTGATTATCATTAGAGCCCCCTGACTTTGAACTGCTTCTACTACTCAACCTTAACAAATTCTTTTTAGTATCAATGCTCTAATACAACTTCTATCTAACTTGATTGTCTCTCCGTTTCAATCCTTGTGTGGTTTCGTAATATTAGCTAATAATGTCGTTTCGAGAAGATCTATTTATTATAGAGCCAGCTTTACTACCCATGATCGAGGATCTTCTCACAACCCATTCCTTGCTAAAAGCTTGTATAAATTAAAACTGTATAAACTTACTTTTCTATTGCTGTCAAAGAATTAGTATCAATAAATATATGACTAAACGCATCCTTATACTAAATGTCTTATCCCTTAACATATTTTTAATTCAGGAAGTTCAAATCCTAAGCTGATATTTTAATCTTGTGCAGCTCAAGAATCTAAAAAAATACTGAGCTCTTGAGAAGACCAGTGGATTTCTAGTCAATCTGCTTCAGGATCTTCTTGACCTTGGACTTTATTTAATTAGCCTTAGATGCTTGATCAACTTGGTTATACTATGTCTGCATCATTTTAATTTTATTTTCTTTTTTTAAGTAATAATTGATTAATAGATGTATGGGGTTTTGGGGTTTTGGGGAGATCGGAAGAGCGTCG